CAGACTCGCTCCTGTCCAATTCCTTAGGTGCCTCGGCAGGCACTTGTTTCGACAACAATTCAGATACTCTTTTATCTATAATATCCTGCTTATTTCCCATCATCCATGGGGGAAACATGAAGGGCATTTCCCTTGTGATGTCTGATTCATATTAAATGGAAAAAAAATTTGCAATTCCAACAGAAGTTGCAATATCCTGGCTTGATTGGTTATGGGAATGACCTGGCCTAACACTAGGGCTCTCTTGTTCCAAGGACGGAACGGCCAAACAATGGTCCAAAATGTCATAGGAATGACTGGCCATAGCAGGTTCGTTGTAAGTTATAGGAATTTGTTCTGAGGACAGAACGTTCCGAACTTCCACAGCAGACTCAGCTGCTTGAATACTCGAGATATTCTTCAGAGAACTATCCCCCAGCAGAGTGACTTCTTACCTTTAGAAGAATCTGACTGTGTCGCTGTCTTCTTTTCCTCAGGGGCTTTAGACACTGTGGCAGGTTTCTTGCTTTTTTGTTTATGCTTTTCTATTATGCGTGTAACCGCGGTCCGTTTATCTTTTGACCAAGCCTTACACACCCTGCAAGGACTAGATTCTGAACATGAACAATGCCGATAACATTCTTCGTGATCGTCAATGCACGACATCTCTCTGTGGCATCACTTGCATTCTTTATAGGATTCGTCTGCCATGCTTACCAATTACTACACGTGGTCAGTACCAACCTAAGTAATTTACGGTAAAATAAACAAACACAAACTAAACCACAGCTAAAAAGCAAAATAACGATCAAAAACTTTAGAATTAAAAGTTAAACTAATCATTTGAATGATATACGCAAAGTAGTATGTAAATGCCTGAAAAAATTCACCGGATAAAAACCCCGCGTGAAACCAAAATGGCAGCCCGAACATAAACTGAGGTACCTGGATGTCGGGTATTAGAGAGTGGGTTAAGGGAAGATAACTCGTTCTAAAAATAATTCGGGCATAGTAGTAGGAGTCCGTGACATATTGCTAAATGTTCGATGCAGGTAAGTATAGATACTGAAATAAACTATGTCAATTAGAACTGTTGGTAAAAGAGATAAATCCTAATGTAAATTCAGGTGGTAAGTAAAAACCAAAATGAAATCAAATCCTCCATGCCAATTACCCTTTAAGGTAGTCCGATCCTCAGGTTCTGAAAATCAGCTTTTAAGTAATTGAAAATGCTCACAAAGATGTCCCTAATTTCACACAGTGAATTCACCCATGGAATTTCTTCCAAGTTCATAATTATAGTTAATCATATTATATAGGGAAAATTATCAAATCTCAAATATATTTTCAGGGAATGCGAATAAAAACACCAGCTTTGCATTTTCTAATTGAAAATTGATCAACAAATATAATTTAGGATAGAATCAAAAGCCTGAAAGGCTTCAATGGCATCGAACACGAAAAACAATTTCAAAACATTTTTTTTTAACTTAAAGATAGCAGTAGGTAAAATAATAGACTAATAAAAATGTTAAGTTTTAAAACAAATGTCAAATTTACAGTCTGGGTCATTATGCCATGGTCCGAATAGAGCAGGGTTCAAATTGACTAGACACCATCGAACATGTTCATGCTGGATATCAAGTTCATCTTTTTTCAGTCAATTAAAGAAATATCAAGGATTTAATGAATTTATATGAATATTTTTCTAATTGTCAATGCCTAAGCATTGTTTTAGTGCATCTAAACAACAACCGTAACTTGCTCTGTTGCGACTACGATCGAGATATGATCGGGCGTGGTAGGCCTATACGGTAAAATGCGATATGGAAGAAATGGTGAAATACAGTAATAACATCAGTTTTTATGATAAAATTGGTTATAAGATTGTAAAAGTAAGGTTTACATTTGGAAATTTAATCCTATTAGTCTTCTAGCATTTGTGTTAATTTAATATTGTGGTTATTTTACCGCCTATTAATATAAGTTGTTAATTGTGTTTACATGGTTCTCCTTCGTAAACTTTATTCATGTCATTCAACACAGCTTTTCTTTAGAAATTCATCCGCAAGAACTGTCACGTTTTTCTTGTGTGAATATAAAAATTAAAACAGGGTATCTTTGTTATGTGATAAATTATTTGTAGATATAATTGATGCAATTTTATTTTCAAGCTATTATTCACTGTGAATATTTTCAGAGAAAGCGATGCATTGTTATTGCTATTTTCTTTTGCGGATGCATGGACTGACACATTCGGTCGCGTAAAGTTTGGTCGCCTACTACATGGCATTCGAGATCAAGAGCTCGATGCCATAAAAATATAGGTATCCAGGCATTTGGAGAAAACTGCATCTTTTTATGCTTATACAGTATTTTAGTTCTTCTTTTTACTTCAAATGTCATATAATACATAGTGTAAAAAGCTTGTGCTATCATTGCTAGACATCACATATCACATCTAATTTAATACCATGCTAATAAGCAGTGGTATCTTATGCTAGACTAAAGGAAAGTCGATTTCTCTAAAATAAATTCATTTTTTTTTCTTTTATGGGGTACAAATGTCAACTTTTTACAAGACTGTTTCTAAGACTTCAAAGAACCTTGAATCATATTAAGATGCATAAAATGATAATTGTTGCACGAAAAGATCTCAATTTCAAGATTCATTTTGAGACTTTTCAAATAAAATAATGAATTTAAGAGTTATCCTTCCTGGCTGAGGATTGGATATCCTTAAGATCTTAGAAGCTAATTCATTTTTTATTGTCTTCAATTATGTAAATATATGCTACCTGTTTATCTTAATTCTGAGAGCTTCTTAAATAAAACTTATTATGTAGCATAACAATTACTAGCGGTTATCTAACTTACTGCTTTTCTTTTGCAATAAAGTCAACAAAGCTCTAGATCCCACATCATTTTTCCAGGTATAATATATTGTTTACACTAATGATTCGAACAATGAGTATGCTGAAAGTACAATGTATTGCCAATGGCTACACTTCTGAAAGTAAGTCATCTTATTAAGATTGTTTAGCCTTCCAAATGTAATGTTGTTCAAAAAGAATTGATTGAATTTATTATTAGAAGAGTAAGCTTAGCAGAAAATTCCTTCAAGAGGCCCATGGGCCACATCACTCACCTGAGCACATTTGCTAGGAAGAAGCAGAAATCGGGTCAGTATTGAAGGGGGGGGGACTTTTCCTATGTATTCCTATGTAAAACTCTGATCGCTATGTATTCCTACGTAAAACTCTGATCGCTCATCGTGGCCCCACCCTACCAACACTAAATTTGAACAAATTTGAATCTACACTACCTGAGGATGCTCCTATAATAAAATGACTATGTCTTTGCTGTTCTTGAGCAGAAGATTTTTTCAAGATGATTCCTATATATTCTTATGCAAAACCCTCGGTTGTGCCCCCCAACCCCTAGGGGTCATAATTTGAACAAATTTGATTCTACAATACCTAAGGTTGCTTCAGTATAAATATAACTAATAATGGCTTAGCTGTTCTTGAGAAGAAGGTTTTAAAGATATTTCCCAGGTAACCTGTATGATCATGTTTTACAAAGGATATATGTTTTCCTTTTACTCTATCTGAGTTAATGATTGGAATGATTATTAAGACAGCTCTGTTTGAGGGTTGATCACACAGTACTTAAATTTTCTCTTATCTAGAGACGGGGACTGGGTAAGGTACTACTTGCACCATGTTTCTCCCCTAGGTTCCCATTGATAAATAAGAACTGGATGTCTCAATCTTCTTCAGATTTACTACAGCTAGAACTTAACTTTCAACCATAGGTTCCCATCGATAAATAAGACCTGGGTGTCTCAATCTTCTTCAGATTTACTACAGCCAGAACTTAACATCAATTCCATGGGATACTTGTCAGTGTTTATAACTTTTATACTTTTACTTTGCTCTTATCTGTAACTTCCCTATTGCTAATTCAACATCCAACTTCTTCAGCTAGCTTCTGAATGCCTGACTTTCCTAGAGCTTTGTCTTATATACCCTTTGGGTTGGCTGGTAAATTGCAAGTTTGTCAGGACATTCCACTATATGAAGTCTTCAATGCATTTTACTCAAATGCCCCTTAACCTTTACACCTATATATTCCTATGTAAAACTTTGACCTCCTGTTGTGGCCCTGCCCTACCCCCAGGGGTCATGATTGGAACAAACTTGAATCTACATTACCTGAGGATACTTCTATTATAATATTACTAATCATGGCTTTGCTTTTCTCAAGAGCAAGATTTTTAAAGTCATTTCCTATATATTCCTAATGTAAAACTTCGACCCCTTCTTGTGGCCCCTCCCCATCCCCAGGGGTTATGATATGAACAAACTTGAATCTAGAGTATGAAATGAAGCTTTCACATAAGTTTCATTTTTTCTTGCCCAGTGGTTCTTGAGAAAAATTTTTTTTAAAAAGGTGCCACCAAAATTTCACGAATTCTTAATTATCTCCCCTTGAAAGAGGGCATGGCACTTCCTGTCAACAAACTAAAATCCCCTTCCCTAAAGGATGCTTTGTGGCAAGTTTGGTTGAAATTGGCCCAGTTGTTCTTGAAAAGTCAAAAATGTGAAAAATTGGCAGATGACAGACGGACGCCAGACACTCTTTGATCAGAAAAGCTCACTTGAGCCTTCGGCTCAGGTGAGCTAAAAATCTAAAACAAGAGAATTAACATTTTCTTAATTTTATCAGCATGATACACTGAGCATTTAGTAATATATTTCACAAGGACTTCTTCCTAATATGTCCTTTAAAAATGTACAGTGATCCATCTCGTAGTGTATAGAACAGCACATTGCCCCCAGGTAATTGACATTTCCTACCTCCAATGCCAAAGAGTTCTGTTAAGTAATTGTGATATGAAGTATTGAACAACAATGCAGTTTAAAGTTACATTTTGTTACCATAAAAGAATAGAAATAATTATAATCCTACTTTCATTTGAAAATATTGTTAATAAACATATTTTATTGGATACTTACATGTTCTACCCAGAGTTTTCCTACAATTACATTGTGAACACAGCAATTGATGTTACTCCATGTGTATGTTTCATTATGACTGGAAAAGAAAATTATAGTACACATTTCTTGTCAATCCTTCATAACTGACAGAAAAATTATTGAATTTTTTCCTAAAAATTTGCAGCACTGCTTATTTTTTCCATAAAAAGGTATCTGATCAAGTGTTCCAAGGAACATCTTTTCATGCATACTTAAGGCAATGATAAATGAAATGTGTACCACTGTATAAAGGGTTATTTTCACCCCTTGTTATTTTGCCCTTTTACAATTAGAAACAACTTTAACCAATTTTAAATTTGCCCAGACACAGCTGTGTTGAAGTGTTAAAGTTGTCCTTCTTGACTTCACCTCACTTGCAACAAGGGTAAACATAGGTAATCAGAGATTACAGAGCTCACCTCAACATAAGGCAAAGTCCCACACTAAACTAATAATCTAGGAGTGTGCATCCCTAGATGCAACATTTATGCAATTTTGGTCTGATAGGGCTTGTAGTTACTTGGGAATAGACTTATCTGAAAACTTAAAACTAGTCACTTATCCAGAAAATGTAAGTCAAATCCAGCATCCGAAACAAGTTTTGAGATTGTTCGTCCCTTGATGCATCATCCATGCAAGTTTGGTTCACATAGGCCTTATAGTTACTTGGAAATGACATCTGCTCCAAAAACTTTAACCTGGTCACTCATCTGGAAAATATAGGTCAGATCCAGCATCCAAAGCAAGTCCAGTAGTGTGCATCCTTAGATGTATCATCCATGCAAGTTTAGTCAATATAGGGTTTATAGATACTTGGAAATGACATCTGCTCCAAAAACTTTAACCTGGTCACTCATCCGGAAAATATAGGTCAGATTCAGCATCTGAAGCAAGTCCAGTAGTGTGAATCCTTAAATGTATCATCCATGCAAGTTTGGTCAATATAGGGCTTTTAGTTACTTGGAAATGAGATCTACTCCAAAAACCTTAACCTGGTCACTCATCCAGAAAATATAGGTCAGATCCAGCATCGGAAGCAAGTCCAGTAGTGTGCATCCTTAGATGTATCATCATGCAAGTTTGGTCAATATAGGGCTTATAGTTACTTGGAAATGAGATCTACTCCAAAAACCTTAACCTAGTCACTCATCCGGAAAATGTAGGTCAGATCCAGCATCCGAAGCAAGTTCACTAGTGTGCATCCTTAGATGTATCATCCATGCAAGTTTGGTCAATAAAGGGCTTATAGTTACTTGGAAATGAGACCTGCTCCAAAAACTTTAACCTGCTCAAAAAACATTAACCTGGTCATTCTTTAGCTGAAATTGCAGCATCTGAAACCTTGACTGATACAATGAAACACACTAGAAGCATCCTCCATGCATCTCTGACTAATATAGGCCATAGAAGTACTTGAAAAGAAAACTGCTCCAAAAACCTTAACCTGGGACATCGACGCCAACACCGACGCCGAGGGTATTACATAAGCTCCCCCAACTTCGTTGAGGTGAGCTAAAAAGGGTGAAAATTTCCTCATATACAGTATCTAGTAGCCTCTGGTACATTTGTTTGAACTTATTTGTAACTCTAAAATGGAGCAAGTCCAAGATCAAGGTAACTGTGCTCCAATTTGTAACCAGAAAATTTATTTTGCAACTGAAAATTAAAAGTAACTTGTCAATGAATATTTGAAACTGAGTCAATTTGGGTCTAGGATTTGTTAGTTTTTCTTATTATAGTACAAGTCAAGAATAAGTTTGAATATTTATATTCTTACATAAATTTAATAAAGTGTAGTAATGACCTTTTTCCTGCCAACCAGAACCTACAGTACAGCTTACAAGTTATTGCCACCATAGGATGGAAAACACACTGTGTACAAGCAAATTCAAATAATTATTGTCCCCCGCTAGTCAAGGTACAATTAGTTCCCTACTGTTTTACTAAGGTCTTCTGTCTAGAGCAGTGTCTTAGTGGTTGTGATGTAATTATTTATGGCATATTGTAACTGTCTTGTCTGTATATATGTCCTGCCTTGTCTGTCCATCATACAAAAAGATTTAAAGTTTTTGATTAATAAAAATTACAGTCAAGATTGAAGTTTTTTAAAACTGCATAAAACTTCAAAATGAAGGTCATGAGGTCAAATATCATTATACAATACGAAAGGTCTTGTCATAAATAATGAAAACCCTGTCTCTTCTATGGCAAAAGTCACAGCAAAAGTTAAAACTAAAAATAAGTATGTCAAACTTCTAGGTCAAGGTCATGAAGTAAAAAATGATGGGTTTTTTTCTGAAAGGTTTTGTCACAGGTCATGCACATGTAAAATATGAAAGCCTTATCTTTTCTCATTGAAAAGTTATGACAAATGTTAAAAATTTGAAAAGTACTATAGATTAATCTTCAAGGTCACAACGTCAAAAAGTACATTCAGATAGGCCTTGTAACAGGTAATGTACATGTCAAATATATGAATGTCCTGTCTTCACTCATTCAAAAGTTATAACCAATGTCAAAATTTTGGAAAAGTAGGTCAAACTTCAAGGTCATGAGGTCAAAAATCCAGGGATGGGCACGATTACTGAAAAATGTAATCGATTAATAATCGATTACTTAGAGGAATTTTGTGTAATCGATTATTAATCGATTACACTCATTTTTGTCCTGTAATCGATTGTAATCGAATACTTTGGAAGATGTAATCAATTAATAATCGATTACTCCCAAGTTTTTATCCCTTCAAATATCAAAGCAATATTTAAATGGTAAATGTTGATGTTATCCACCTAAGTTTGAATGTGTTTCTGCAGTTTCAGTGCAGATTCTTTTAAGGTTTTATTCTGGCTAACATTCTCACTAAATGCCCAAATGAGGGATTCTGTACCATGAAAAGTGGAGACATGATCGATTCCTACAATAAAATATGTCAAGGAATTAATTATTCCTTTCAACCTTGGATCTGAACCTCCATATTCAGATTTGATTTGTTGCAAAAATTATTTATTATAAAATAATTTTATTGTGAATAACTTCATTAGAAGTATTTGTGCTGCCCGTATTTTGACAGTACACATTAAACATTCTTGTGTCTTCTTTAAAAAAAAAAAGAAGTAAATTAGAACTCTTAGTAATAAACATGTAAATCAAATGTGTCTTTAAGTAATTAAACTAATAGCACAATTTCATTCTGTATTGAAATAAGTGTTTTGAGAGCTATTAATTGTTTTAATAATATTGTTTGTCTTCAATAGAACTATGAATAATAAAAGTTAAACACTAGGTAGTTCACAGTTTACACCTCATTATCTGCAAGTCAGGGATATCTCAGTCAATTAATTAGCCAAGATAAGCAAACACAGTGACACTTACTCCCTCTCTTACAGACATAATCCCTCACTGATACAAAAGAAACCTCACAATTTTGAATGAAAACATGAGAATGATTTTGCTAATTTTAAAGTTACTAAAACAACAAGTTTGAAGTTGTTTAAACATTTTCAGATATGAATAAGTATTTCCATCTTCTTTTTTTCGAGTACAATGTAGTTTATTTACCAAATTATTTATATTTAATACAGCACTTAAATCTGTTTTTGCTATTTATAATTTTCTATTACAACCACAAAATTTTTCAATATTTGAAATATGAAAAAGGACATGCAGCAAGAGGACTATGGGTCAAATGTAAAATGCTTACAAAAAATCTATATATTTTATTAATAAATAGTTGAAATACACTTCTGAATTATTTAATACTAGACCAGTAAGTCTATAATGCAATTTTTTATTGAGAACATTATTAAACTTATGATAATAAAAATTAGGTAATCCAAACATTACACTAGGTTGTTTATATTTGATATTTATGTGTGAATGACAGGAAAAAAATCTCCAAAATAACATCCATTTATATATAAAATAATCGAAAGTTACTGTAATTGAAAAAGTAATTATAATTACATTGAAAATTTTAGCTGTAATCGATTAAATTACAATTACAAGTAATCGAAAATCTCTTCAATTACAGATTACTGTCGATTACTTGGAAAAAAGTAATCATGCATTACAATCGATTACGATTACTCGATTACGATTACCCCATCCCTGCAAAAATCATAGAATATTTGGAGAGGTATTGTCACAGGTCATAAACACATCAAGTATGAACACTCTATCATTTCTCATTCAAAAGTTAACACTATTGTTAATATTTTTTTAAAAATAAGGTAAAACTTCAAGGTCAAAGTCGCAGGGTCAAAAACATATTCATTTGGAATGATCTTGTCACAGGTAATGTACATGTGAAATATAAACTTCAAAAGTCAAGACCAAGGTTAAAGATTTTGTGACCTAAGGACAGACTGACAGACAGACAGATGAATGAGATCTTTTGAAAAAGCAGGGGACAAAAATGCTCCATGTTACACCTTGCACATGGTGTCACAAGGTATGTATATATTGCTCATACATACACAAAAGATATACTGTGGAGCACTGCATACTTGACAATTTCCTCCATTTTGCACCTAGTAAGAATATTATGGAATGGGAAATAAGATCGGTTTAGTTAAAAAAAATTAGAATTGAACTCAAATTTAAAGGTGTAAAAGCTAGAAAGAATAAAAACAAGTAATTTACTTTTAGTATATAATAAAAAAGCCCCCCACGGAATGGGGGGGGGGGGGAGGGGGCTTGACCCAGGGGCCATGAAATTCACAATTTTGGAAGAGGCATTCTTCCTCATCATAAAAATGTACTTAGTTCATCTGCTTAATATCCAGGAGCAGAGGAAAGATTTCTAAAGAATTAATGCATTTTCACTATATAATCATTAGAGCCCGCCCTAACACCTGACCCAGGGGCAACAAAATTCACAATTTTGGATATGGCACTCCTCCTCATCATAACTATTGGCTTAATACCCAGGAGCAGAGGAGAAGATTTTCAAAGAATTGATGCATTTTCACTATATAATCATTAGAGCTCAGTCCTGACCTAACACCAGAACCCCTGACCCAGGAGCCATGAAATTCACAATTTTGGAAGAGACACTCTTGCTCATCATAACTATGTACCTAATTCATCAGCTAAATACCAAGAATTAATGCATTTTCACTATATAATCATTAGAGTTAACATGAAACTCAAACTTGATCTGTAAGTCATCAATATCAAGAGACACCAAAATCATCTTATCATGCACAAGCATAGCAAAAAAGAGAAAATTATTAACAAGGGCCTTAACAGTCATATGACTTTAGAACAAGACTGAAAAGGATTTATAGTAGTTTGAAATTAAACAAAATAAACTGATAGATGAAGATATGTTGTCCAAAAGCAAAAGAAAAAGGATGAACAGGGATCAACAATATAGTTAGTCTAGTACTCAGGAGCAATTATATCAGACAGATGCATGGATGATGGACACCTTACTAATTAATGCATAAGCTCTATTGGTCTCTGATCAGTAGATCTAAATATCAAAGAATGTTTTTAAAATATATTATGAATAGACCTACTTTTTTAATTCTAGTGTTAGGATGCCTTTTGGGTTGACTTCAACAGATTTGCCCCAGAACTTGAGTTTTGGATGGATGGAGCCATGGAATTTGTAATGTGGAGACTCCACGTAGAATGCACTGATAGGTGGATGGTGGGATACTTGTTCACTCACCAACCGAAAACCCAAATCTGGTCTGTAATCAAAAGGAACAATAAATTAATTTGCATTCTTCAGAGAATTTCTAATGAATGATTGCAAAATGGATGTAAAATCATCAGCAAAAACAAGGGATAGGTTTGTAGAAATGTATCAGGTTTCTCCATTATTACAAATTTGACTGTGGTTCAGCACTGATGCAATGCTAATATTCATGGTCTTTTGTGACCACAAGAAATGTTTGTGAAACACTTATGCCCCCAGATAATTCGAATTTTTCTAAGTCCTGCAAAGGCATAACTCTGTCAAACATTGCTCGATTGTACCCAAAACAAAACTTAACCTAGATATTTTTATGATTAATCTGTATACCAAATTTCATTTCAGTATGTGAGACCTCTGTGAAGAAAATGAACGGAAATTGTTGGTGGACCGACAGACAGACCGATTGACCAACAGACAGCAGCAAAGCAATATGCCCTCCCCTCTTCGAACAAGAGGCCCATGGGCCACATCGCTCACCTGAGCACATTGGCTAAGCAAAAGCACAAATCAGTTCAGTATTGAAAAGATTACTGGGGGTGGGGGGTTGTATTTTAAACTACCTGATGATGCTTCCATGTCAACATAACAAATGGCTTTGTTGTACTTGAGAAGATTTTAACAACATTTTCCCATATATTCCTTTGTAAAAATTTGATCCTCCATTGTGGCTCCTCCCTATCCAAGGCATCATCATTTGAACAAACTTGAATCTACACTACCTGAGGATGCTTCCATATCAAAATGACTAATCATGGCTTTGCAGTTCTTCAGAAGAAGAAATATTCCTATATATTTCTATCTAAGACTTTGATCCTCCATTCTGGCCCCACCCTACCCCCAGGGGTCATGATTTGAACAAAATAAAATCTACACTACCTGAGGATGCTTCCATATAAATATGACCAATCAGGTCTTTGCTGTTCCTGAGAAGAAGATTTTTAAAGATTTTTCCTACATATTTCTGTGTAAAACTTTGATCCTCCATTGTGGCCCCACCCTACCCCCGGGGGTCATGATTTGAACAAATTTGAATCTACACTACCTGAGGATGCTTCCATATAAATATGACCAATCAGGACTTTGCTGTTCTGAGAAGAAGATTTTTAAAGATTTTTCCTATATATTTCTATGTAAAACTTTGATCCTCCATTGTGGCCCCGTCCTACCCCCGGGAGTCATGATTTGAACAAATTTGAATCTACACTACCTGAGGATGCTTCCATATAATAATGACTCATCATGGCTTTGCTGTTCTTGAGAAGAAGATTTTAAAAAATTTTCCTATATATTTCTATGTAAAACTTTCATCCTCCATTGTGGCCCCACCCTACCCCCGGGGGTCATGATTTGAACAAATTTGAATCTACACTACCTGAGGATGCTTCCACATAAATATGACCAATCAGGACTTTGCTGTTCCTGAGAAGAAGATTTTTAAAGATTTTTCCTATATATTTCTATGTAAAACTTTGATATTCCACTGAGGCCCGCCCTATCCCTGGGGGTCATGATTTGAACAAATTTGAATCTACACTACCTGAGGATGCTTCCATATAAATATGACTCATCGTGGCTTTGCTGTTCTTGAGAAGAAGATTTTTCCTTTATATTTCTAAGTAAAACTTTGATCCTCCATTGTGGCCCTGCCCTACCCCTGGGGGTCATGATTTGAACAAACTTGAATCTACACTACCTGAGGATGCTTCCACATGTGTTTCATCTTTCCTGGCCCTGTGGTTTTTGAGAAGAAGATTTTTAAAAGATGCTATTAATTTTTCACTAATTCTTTATTATCTCCTCTTGAAAGAGGGCATGGCCCTTCATTTGAACAAACTTGAATCCCCTTTACCCAAGGATACTTTGTGGCAAGTTTGGTTAAAATTGGCCCAGTTGTTCTTGAGAAGAAGTCGAAAATGTTAAAAGTTTACAGACATGCAGACAGACAGACGGACGCCGGACAAAAAGTGATCAGAAAAGCTCACTTGAGCCTTCAGCTCAGGTGAGCTAAAAAGAGCATAACCACTAAATAATTTAAAAAACACATAACTCTTCTGAATTAAATAGTTTAATACAAAAATGGTAGTACTTGGTTAAGTGACAATAGATTTAAATAAGAAAAAAATAATAATAAATCGATATCAAGTATATACATGGAAGAAAACAAAAATTAAAACTAGAATGTTTTCAACATATGTATGTGTACTGTGGAAAAAAAAAGTCCCTAATCCCAACCCCTTCCATACATTCATACTTATTAACAAATATTAGTTTATAGATCCTGACAATAATATTAGTCCCAGTGATAACAAGTTTTAGTGTTTAACCTTGACTTTTTTCAAAAATGATTTTGTTTACAAAGGTAAATTTCGCATCTACATAGCTGCAATAATGTAGCCCTCTCCGATTTTTTTTTTTGGGAGAGGGCTACAACTCCTTAGGATCTCCGTAATAGTGCAAGTGCGGGAGTGATTCACTACCGCACAGATTTCGGCTCAAATTATCAGTAAGCGGGTATTTTATTAACATATCTTACCTGAACTCATAAAATGTAGTTATGCAAGACATGAACTGATCCAAAAATATACAGAACAATCCGTATTTCGTGTATGTCAACATCACAACTTGAATTTATCCGCCATGTTTACTGACCTTGATCGATTTTATTTTGGGACAACCAATGAGAATTCGGGATCTAGGGGAGCGGATCTGTTTTAGATTTCCCTTATTATAAGCATAAATATCACTGTTTATGAAAAAAATATTACATGGAATGCTTTTATTTATTGATCTTTAGTGATATCATACAACACAAACATTTATCAACACCGAAATTTACTTTATCAAGTGATTCTAAATTTCAAGCGCAAGTCTCAGTACATCACGCGAGAACTGTCATGGCTGCAGAGGAGAACGACTGGGAAACACGCAGATTTATTTTACTTGGTTTTCGCGTATAATGGGCTATGATGTTGATAGTGAATAAAAATTCCGTCTTATTGGAAGTAAGTTGAATGCAAAAACAATTTATTTTTCCTGCAGTCGCCCGTATCTAAAAAATATATTTGCACCATTACGGAGATGCAGTGGAATTGTAGCCCTCTCCTGAAAATACCAGATTAAAAAAAATCGGAGAGGGCTACATTATTGCAGCTACATCTACAGTGTACATAATTGGCAGAGGAAATTCTGGTAAATCGCACACTCAGTCTTATCTACATATTTACAATTTTTGGTGTCAATTGACTGAAGAATCAAAAAACTTTAAAAACTGTCAACTGTGAATTTTGGTTCTATATTTAGATCTTAATTATGATCTTAAATAATGTGTAGTTGTACACCAGGCTCCAGGATCATGAAACTGTCTTAAATTTAAGTCAGATTTTTTACTTAAATTTAAGATTTAGACTTAGCTAAGATCGCTTACTTAAGAGAATCACAAAACGATCTTAGCATAAACTTAGTTAAGATTTGTCTTAGTTAAAAAACCCTTTATTGTCATAGTAACTCATGCGGTGTTTAGAGCGTATACGGTAAATGTGGAACTCTCCAATGTTTTGGAGATACAATTTTCATCTGCTTACATTAGTTATGCAATGGATGCAGAAACTTCCAAAAAACGAATAAGAAAAAGTAACTGGGACCCCAGGGACGAGATTACATTAGTGGAGGAGGTACAGAAGAGGGAGAAGGTACTCTTTGGAAAATTAGACGGGTCAGGGAGGACTTCTGTTGATAAGACAAAGGCCTGGAAAGAGGTCACTGACCTAGTCAATGCGCAAGTGTTGACATACCACATTTTCCCTAAATCATTATGCATTGCCACAAAATAAAACTTGATGAAAACTAATTGAAAAGAAAACCAATGATGTCTTAAAAATGTACTAGACTGTGGCAGTTTCAACGGTGTTCATACTACATGTATCAGTAATGCAGCTATATATAGGCCAAGCTGTGATTATACGACAGCACAACCACTAACGAACTAAAAAACTCGGACTGTGCATTACAACAGCTGATTTTAAGCAGATAACTCATGCATATACAAGATACAATAGTCTCAAGATTTTAAAATATTGTATACGATTTAGTAGAAAAAGCAAAATACACAAAAGGGGAAACCCGAAAGCTATAAATAGATATTGCAAAGTATCTACATGAGTACATGTATGTATTCTTTATTATGGAAAATAAAATATTAAAAATTAACCACAACTGTAAGAAACATTAAATTCTTATAGTTTGTTAAATAGATTCATGTTTTTTTTCCGTAGTGGAAGTACATTTAGTTCGTGCAGAGACGTGAATGAAATAAAGAAGAAATACCAGAACATCAAACAGAAAGGTATGATGCTCCTTTGATAATTTATAAATACATAAAAAATATTAGATGTACTGTGTTAAGATATTTAAGTTTATAAGTAATAATTAAAATGATATTGATTATATAACAGTGGATGCCCAAGAGATTTTAAGATTAAACAAATTTTCTTATACCCCCCCCCCCCCAAAAAAAAAGAATAATAATAAAATTTAATGTCTGATTAGGAAATTCTCATTGTGTAAAATGTTAATATAGAATCTTAAAAATGTTTCCCCAAAAACTTTAAATTAACAAAACCTCATATATTTCTAAAACATTACAAAAAAATTTTATTGAACTGAAAGTTGTACATTTTCCCATTTTTCACCAAATTATGTATCTTGGTCAAACATAATGTTGTTTATCTAAATAGATATCACTTCTTTAGTGATAGAGGCACCTATTTAAGCAAATTAAGATACATGTATTTGAATTTTGGAAGGAAGAATTTTGTTTGTGTTATTTATCCTCAAAGCTGTATTAATAAATGATGTCATTACTATAAATTTTAAAAATGGGATCAACATTTATTTTCACTACAAAATGTCGCGAATTTAAAACTTTGAAAATTGTTGTCACAAGCAAAATCCCCCATGGGAATTTTCAAAAGTTGGCATGTATGGATTGTCTATATCTTTATTTGTAGCAAAAGAAAAGAGAAGTGCTATTTTGAACCCTAAGACTGGGGGAGGGAAAAAACCATCATCCCCGAATGTTAGTGAACAGTTGTTGTTGGACAACTTGGAAGGCAGACCAAGTCTATGTGGCCTTCCTAGTGGAATAGACACTGCAGCTGGTAATGAAAAATAATAATAAATGAATAAGCTTTTAATGCACAATAACATTAATGATTAATTTTATTTAGTGTATGGTGAACTATTAAAGTATAAAAAAAAAAAAAAGATGAATTTTACAGGGATAATTTTTGTTGATAGAGTCATCAATAAAAAAAATTATGAACAAAAAAAAAATCAGATCAATTTATTATCAAAAATCTGAGATATGAATTTGAATGTACCGGTATATTAAAAAAAATATGTAAATTTTTTATGCCCCACTGCAGGGGCATTATGACACAAGTTAAATTAAAAAAAATCATTCTTGCAGAATCAGTTGTGGATTTCTCAGATGACAACCATGCCTTGCATGAATTAGATTTGACTATAGTGAGACCACTCAGCTTGAGCATTTGTTACCATAAACACAGCCTCTGCCCTCCACATCTACCACTTCATCAACAGAGCTTCATTTGAAACTTACACTAGAAATGCTTCTTCAAGAAGAACTAATCAACATCAAAGAAAGAAGAAAGCTTATTAAAGAACAACAGCTTGTCCATCTTCAAAAACAGCATGTAATTTTAAAAATTAAACAGAAGGATCCCTTTTTCAATTTCAAACACCTTATGAATGAAATGTAAATTTGATTAAATACGTAGTAATAAATACACTGGTTTTTGCATGTGCGATGTGCCTGACATCACAACAGATGTATCAACATCCATGTATTACAAAGCTGTAATACATGCCTTTAGCTTTGTATTACCGTAATGGGAGCAGTAATGCATGGGTGCTGATACATTTGTTGTGACGTACATCATATGGTAGTTAATTCTTATGAGCTTTTCTGATCACAATTTGTCTGGCGTCAGTCTATCTATATGTGTCTGTAAACTTTTAACTTTTATTTTGCCTTCTTTCCTGTCCTCTGGCTGATAACTAAGTGTCTCTCTGGTCAAATTAAATTTATTAAGTATGTAAAATGTATTCTTTACACATTGATAACATCCATCCAATTATTCTCATACTGTATGTGTATTTCCAAACATTATGACATCATTATGATATTTTGTATCTACATACATGTTATAATTGGTTTCTCATAAGTATGTGCATTTGCTATAATTCACTGAATGTTTTATTTCTTCTTTGTAGAATTTAGGATCTATGACTTTGCATTATTAAATTTGTTTTACACATTAATAGCAATTTAATATATTGATATAATTGTTGACAAGTGGCATTGTATTACTGTACTACTGTTATAACAACTGCAGTATAATCACTAGTACTGGTAAAAAAAGGGTTTTCTTGTGGATATGTAACTATAAGAGAGTATCTTCTGCATCAATAATGATCATGTCATTATTCTAATTATGGTTTTTGTTACAAAATTGATCAATACCTCATGTATTTTAACTCTACACTGCTTGCACGCTGTATCAATATCATAATTCAGTGTGATTGTAAGAATAAAAGTATACCATAGAATCAGAACTCATTAGTATGGAGTTTATAGAGGGTACCTAATTTATGAATGATAGTGGCTGTATACTTGCATACTTTTAAACTTTTCATGGAATTTTTCAAATATTTATGCCTTACCACCTGCAGTAAAAATTCTAAAAAGTTAAAAGTAGAGAACTACATGTATCTTTAGTTCTTTATCATTCATCTTTATTATATGCATTTCTTCTCTCTCTGATGTTCTTATACTATAACAAGAAGTTTGTGAGCCAATGCTTACTAATAATACCCCTGCTCTGATGTGAATACACAAGTTTATTTTTGGACAGACACAGGGATAAACAAGAAGTTGACATCAGATTCATACAAAAATGAATCCCACAATATGGCATGCCTAAACAATGAGTGTGCTAAACTTTCAAGCATCTGCAAAAAGTAGTTGCTGAGAAATCTGCAACCAAAATTTGTAATGTATGGTACGGATAGACGCACGGATAAACAGGAAGTTGATGTCAGATTCTCACAAAAATGAATCCAACCATATGGCATGCCTAAACAAAGAGTGTGCTAAAATTTCAAGCATCTACGATGAATAGTTGCTGAGAAAACTGCGACCAAAATTTGTTATGTATGGTACGGACAGACGCACGGATAAACAGGAAGTTGATGTCGGATTCTCACAAAAATGAATCCCACCATATGGCATGCCTAAACAAAGAGTGTGCTAAAATTTAAAGCATCTACGATGAATAGTTGCTGAGAAAACTGCGACCAAAATTTGTTATGTATGGTACGGACAGACGCACGGATAAACAGGAAGTTGACGTCGGATTCTCACAAAAATAGATACCATAATATGGCATGCCTAAACAAAGAGTGTGCTAAAATTTCAAGCATCAGCGATGAGTAATTGCTGAGAAAACTGCGACCAAAATTTGTTATGGACAGACAGACGGACACACAGACAGACATATTCTCTATTGAGAAGTTGATGGCTCGTTTTAATACTTCCCCTCAACTTCTCTATGAAAGGCCTAATAAAAGCAGTTCAGAAATTGACTAAATGAAGAACCAAACCGGACCCCACTTCAATCGATGTTTTAGGATTGATGCATTATAATAGACATATTTTGGATGCACAGATGTTGTTTTGCAATGGAAATGCGATTAAAAATACCGATTCTGCTGACTTAAAAAACATTTATCACGGTAGAACACTTACTTGCGATATCTGTGTCACCGGATTCGTTTATTCATTCAAAACTGCGTTTGAACCCGGTTGACCTCTAAAAAAGTCTAAAAAAAAAATTCCGGATAATTTGGCCTCAATGTTCCAGTGTTAAATAGTTATCCGGAGGAATAGTTTTAGACTTTTTTAGAGGTTCAAACGCAGTTTTGAATGAATAAACGAATCCGGCGACACAGATATTGCAAGTAAGTGTTCTATTATACAAAACGTGTTTTAAGTCAGCGGACTTGGTATTTTATTCGCACTTCTATGGCAAAATAACATCTGTGCATCCAGACTACGTCTGTGATATCGCATCAGACCTAAAACATCGATTGAAGTGGGGTCCGGTTTGGTTCTTCATTTAGTCAATTTCTGAACTGCTTTTATTAGGCCTTTCGTAGAGAAGTTGAGGGGGAGTATTAAAACGAGCCATCAACTTCTCAATAGAGAATAAGACAGACAGACACACAAGGGTAAAACAGTATATCCCCCTCTCCTTCGGAGCAGGGGTATAAATACTTATTTGTACTGTTTTTTGGATTTACAGACAAATTATATACATACTAAATCCATCATTTACTGCTCTGTAATATTGGTAATTCTTGTTGTTGATTCAGTCCACTCTTTTTGTTCAAATTACATTTTAGTATCTATGATATATATGTTTTTGTTTTTCTTGACAATTTTCTTTAAAATTTGCTTCTATCAAATGGAAAGAAAAACTGAGTCTTATACAATAAGCCATGTTATATCAATTCAGCTTTTGATTCAAGTATCAAAGTTTAAAAAAGCAATAAGACATATTCAGTGTTTTCTAAAATCCTTCATTGAGCATTGATACCACTGACAATCAACTAACATGATACATGTATAATGATATTCACAATTTTCCAGTTTCTTTTTTTTTTTTTTTTTTTTAATTTTACAGATGTTGTACATGTTTATAAAGTATAATTAATTCCCATCATTTTCTGTTCTTTGAAATTGTTAAATCTTTAGTGGTATATTTTCTAAAAGTTGTTATTTTAACAAAAAATATACAAGTTATTATCACTAAGTACAATTCCATCTACTGTACATATGTCAGAAACAAATGGGAATATTGAATAAGCTTTAATTTGCTATTAATTGTTATCATTTATCTTGTAATTTTTCATTTGAACATCTTTCATATAATTATTATTGTTTTGTTTGGATGACAATTTAACTTTAAAAAATGACCATACTGATTGATAGTCAAAACAATATGACAATGGTGATGCTTTACGTTACGTAAAAACCATATGGTGCTTATTAAATACATTGCAAAATATCCCATTTTAAAGTCAAGAGTTGTTTCCATTTACGCAGTCATGCATAAGCATGCATGTGCCAAAAAAAAAAATTGCACTGAATTTAATTAGAATATTTCTCTTATTGAAATATAAAATACATGTACTTAAAGTACAATGCATTTGAAATATAAAATAAAGTACAATGCATTGGTGCATGTTAATTGTAAATTGAATTTTATCATGCATTCATTTAGAAACTGTTTAACTTTGTTATGAAATAGACACAACAATGAAGGATAAACTTTACAAACTAATATGCTGCATATACACGAATAATCAAATTGATTTGGGCCAATTTTTTTTCATATAGTTCAGTTTAACATGCAAGATTATTAATTAACTTCATGAAAATCAAAATTTTTACATAGTTACACATTTTTTCCCTCATGTGTCATTTGTTGGTAGTTGATATTTTACTGCATTGTTAATGTTGAAGGAAAGTTAAGCAATCATATTATTATAGTTGCTTTCATTGCAATAAATTTGTTTCATTTTCATTATAAGTATCTTGTGTCTCATAAAATGACTCACAGAGTGTCACAAAAAAAAAAAAAAGAAAAGGAAAAAGAAAAATACTACACTGCAAGACAATCCATATTGACACTTGCTGCTTTCAAGAAATATGAGATGAGATATAGAGAGGGAATAATTTTTATGCCCTATAATAAAATATTCAGGAGTATATAGAATATGTCTGACTGGCTGTGTCTGCCAAAAATTTTAACTTCATAACTTATGAATGGAGGTGCTATGGTTTTCATATTTAAGATGAGTATTCATTATAACAAGACCTTTCTTTCATGTATGACATCATGACCTTGACCTTTAAGTGTGACCTATCTTTGATAAAAATAACCCACCTTTAAACTCCGCTCTAACTTCTGAAAGGTTGATGATAACTAGCAAGGGCTTTCATGATTCATTCACACAAGAATTATTTTTGACCTTTCATTGGGTACCAGCACTTTTGAATTCATGACCTTGACCTTTGAGTTTGACTTACTTTTGAAAAAAAATACTTTTAACCTCAGCCTTAAGCTGCTTAAAGGGGGCTCCAGTTTTCATAAATCTTATATAATAGTAACCACATAAAAAAGGGTAATTACCTTATTATAACTACATAAATGTTGAAATATAACTATTAAGGTAAAAAGTTCATATACTGGTATAACTATTACGGTAAATATATTTCATATACTGGTAGTTGTAATATTAATTGCAAAAACGAACACAGAATATTACTATTAAGGATATGTGAACCTGAAATAAAAGTAATTGGAAAGTTAAAAAATAGGTACCGTTGCATAGAGGACAAGTCCCTTGTTCAAATAACAACAATTCTGATATATGTACATGAGTTGGTTTCCATGGCAACAGCCTCTGAACTTGCCCTTGTTTAAAAAGATTAAAGCTATGAAGAAAAGTCTTCTGTAATTAATTAA